GGCTTGTTTGAAAAAGTTTGTTTCATTTTCAATCTTTTTAAAATACTCATAATTTTCTACTGTCATCAGAATAAATTATATAGAGTAAATTGAGTCACAATGTAATATTTTGGATTCATTTGTACAACAGATATTTTGAAGTGCATTGCGTGGGCCACTGTGATAGAGTCTAGGGACATGATGAAGAGAGAAAGTAAACTTGGTCCCTACTCACCTGGTCCTTACCTTGTGGAGTTTGGTGGAGGAGATTAACCTTATTTAGATAATCACACAAGTAAATGGAACACTCAAACTGTGGTATGATACCTAAGCAGAGTTCAGGTTGCTCTGGTTCTTTGAAAGATACAGGTGCTATAAGAACTGATGATGAGGGATTTTACGTGGTCATGGAGGTGAGAGATATTTCCCCTGAGGTAGAGATGACTGAGCTGAGATGTAGTAGTTAATATCATTTGCAAAAGTCCTGTTGTAAATTAGGTAGTTACTTTTGAGCATAAAGAAGAGAGTGACATGAGATGAAGCACAGATAGTTGTAGGACTTTGCTTTATTCAAAGAATTATGGGGAAAGATTGGAAGATTTTAGACGTGAGACTGGAATGATTAAAGTTGACTCCTCCCTGAAGAATGGACTGTAGGAGAGCAATAGTGGCAGCAGGTAGGTCAGTTAGGAACTTTTTGTAGCTTGAGCTTAAGGGTGATATATATGGAGAAACGTGGACAGAGAAAAGAACTATTTAGGAGTGATTACAGAGACAAGTAATAGTGGGGTATGAGAAGTAATGAAGACGGAGAGGCCTGAGATAAATCCTAAGTGTCTGCTTGCGTAACTAAGTGGGTTAGAGTATTATTCATTACCACAATGAACACTGGCAAATGACCAGGTTTGGGGCAAAGAGTGTGAGTCTGGCTTTGGGCATATAGAGTTGGAGTAGCTTGGAGATATCTAAGAGATGATAGCAACTAGGTAGGTAGACATAGGGGACTCTAGATGTACATATGCTCTCTTCCAAAAGTGGGTCAGATGCTACTGAAGGCCCCTGAGATTTACATCTTACATCATTTGCCCAGCAGAGAGACTAGTCTTGATGTGTCTGGTCCCAAAACCAAAAGTTCTAGAGAAGCTTCTTGTTGTTCTGACTGTTGTCAGGTGCTCTTACTTGGTCAAAATAATTGTAGCAGGAAGGAGGTATAGATAGGGTTATGGAAAATCTGATAGTTTCTATGAGAGTGATATGGCTCTGCAAAAAGGAAATTACCAAGAGGAGGGGAAGAAGGAGGACAGATAATATCATAAAATTCCACTCTAATAGTGCTAGGATAATTAGTTGTATGAAACTAACTTTGTGATGGATCACTATTTCCAGTATTTTGGATATTCCCAGGAGCTCTGGGGTGTGAGAGAGGAGACTAGAGGGCTAAAAAGCAATAAAGGCAGTCTAGGGAAATATGAAAAGGAATGCCCTGCTATGAGTATTATGTTACACGGTATTATCATTATATATTTATGTGCCTGTCTACTTTAACAGACTGCAAAATTCCTGAAGGTTGGGATCATTCTTATTTATCCCTGTGTTTCCAGTGACTAGAAAAATACCTGCTCAAAAATTCTTGATGAATTAGTTATTGAATGAATGCATTGGTAAAAGCGTGTGTAAAAAATTGAGAGTAATATGACTTTAAACTAGCTCATTAACCTTCTTAGACTTTAGTTTTACATCTGTATAACGGGCTTCTGATCTGTTCTGTTTGTCATAGTTCTAAAATTCTATTTGTTCTTTTAAAACATAGTTTTGCTGAATATTTAAATTTTGATTATCTGTACGGATGTTGTCCAAACAGATGATAATTTCAAATTCTGCGTTAGTTTTCTGCTCTCCAACCTATTGAAACCTGAGGTGGTGGAGAAAGCACATGGGCTTTGTATCAAATGCATGTGAGTTCAAATTATAGCTTCTCCATTCACTAGCTCTGTACCTCTGGGTAATTTATTTAACTTTTATTAATTTTAAAGTTTTTAAATTTCTAGAATAAGAATGATAACGTTCAAGTTGCAAGGCTTTTGTGATGGGTAGAGAGAATGGATTTATAGACTTTGAAGCATAGGAGGCCCAAGAACACGTTAGTTATTATTTTTCTCACCTTTATGCCTTGATGAGAGTGGGCATTGGGTTTGAGTAGTGGTAAGAACAACATATTTGTCAGTTTTTGTTAAGTTGATCACACTTCACCCTTTTATCTGTTCTATGTGGTTTTGGATAGGTTGATTCAATTGGTCTTAATCAATATTTCCACAGAACATCAGTATTCCACAAGCTAGATTGATAATCTCAAATAATACTGATCTTTTCCCAATTATCAGGAAAAGAATTAAGATTTTTTTAAATTTCAAATTTTTACTTTATATATTTTTCTTTAAAAATTTAGGACTTCTCCTGCTTGTTAAAATAACCCAAAAGTCTTTTTTCATGGATTCATGTTTCATTCAAAAAGACGTTTCTGAGTACCTACAACCTAGCAGCACTGTGCTGTTACTGTAGATATAAAGATGCAGAAGAATCAAGTTCTCCTTTCTGGATCTTATAGCTAAGAGTGTGGAGTAAGTGGAGAATTTTTTGAAGTGACAGGGACACTTACATTGAAATTTGAAGATAAAATCTAAGTTAGATGGATGAAGAAGTGGACGAAGGGCGTTCCAGGAAAAGTGCCAAGCAAGAGAGGTAGGGAGGGCGAATCACTCTCTTTAGCCGCGGTGGTAGCTTTGGGTTATAAACACGTAGTCATTTGTTGCCAATAAAATTATGGTATTACGGGCTTTGAGGACAGATTAAATAGACAATGGCATTCCTGAAGGAGTACTAGGAGACCAAGTGAGAACCACAGGTTAAATCGCATCACTCTGGGGTGAGCTTATGAAAATCTCATTTGTGATGTGCCTAATACTCTGGCGTCTCCTTTCAAAGCTGTGCTTTTCCACAGTATCAGAGGGCTGCTTTGATGCAGCATGATGTAATCTTGATGTATTATCCTTGGCTATCTGTGTGCCTTTTGTTACAGTGAGCATTCATAAGTTAATACAAAGATTTCTATGATCTTCACTTTCTTTTAATAATTCAAAATGAGATAAAACATATGGAAACTCATGATAATGGCAAAGTGCCAAAATTGGATTGAAAACGCAAACAAAGGGAAGCTAGACTAGAACACATTCCAGGAAACAATATAAATGTGAAACTTATAATAAAATACGTATTGGTAGTCACTCTGTGCCAGGTCTTGTATTATTTGATTCTCACCGTAACTGTATGCAGTGAGCACCAGTACTCTTCTTCTTTTACAGATGAGAAATTGAAGCACAGAGAGGCTAAGTGATTTTCCCTAGGTGGCACAGCTAGTAAGTGGTGAAGCTTGGATTTGAATCCAGGCACCCAGGCTCCAAAGCCAATGCCCTTAATCTCTATTTTTATACAGTCTCTTTTTATATGAAGGTAACACTACTCTTTACTTTTACAACATGAGTATTTGTTATCTAATTGGTTAACTTGATCACTGGCTCAGTTTGCCCTGTAAACTGTTCATGTGTCAGTCCCTGAGCTATGTACTGGAGTGGCAATCAAGGATAACGGATGCTCTCTATTCTTAAGGAACTCATCCTGGTTGGGGACAGTTTACAAGACATTTTTTACCTGTGTTACGTTACTTGAGCTGCACAGATGGTCAGAAGGATGGTATCTGTTTCCATTTTGCAGAGGAAGAAGCTGAGGTTGAGAAAGGTGATGTGATTTCTTTTAGAAGAGTTTCCAGCAGTTAGTAAGTGTCAGCGTTTGGGTTCAAACTCAGGTTTTCTAACCAGGAACTAATGCTCTTGGACACTTCCAACAAATAAACTGGTAGTTGTGTCTCACTATTGGATAGCTGGGTGGTCTTGAGTAAGTCACTTACCATTTTGGGGTATCAGTTTTTCCATCTATCAAATGAAAGGCTTGATGACATATTTAAGGTCAATTTCTGTTCTGATTTATTACAATCATAGTCATAGAAGTACCAATTATCCAAGATGGGGATATTGATGATTCAATATGTGATTTTGAAATGTTACATTATTAGTTTGTCAATTTAGTGCACTTTAGTTAAAGTCAATAAACATCTACAGTGAGAGATAAGAAAAGAGAGATGAGTACCTCTAGTTACAAAGATCTCAGAGTCTCATTGGACTGAGAGATAGAAATTAACTAACTGTACCTGGGGTCCAGGTTTGAGTCTATACTTTGAGTATTCCTAGAAGTCAAAATCCTAGTGAAGGGCTAGTAAACTTCTAGGTGGGCTGGCTCTGAGGGAACTAGGTGTCTTCTAGGGGAGGAAATGTTCTTCATAAAGAAAACTTTGGCTTGAAGACACAGCCTTGACAATCAGTGTCAAACGAAGTCCTGCTGATCCGTTTGTTCTTGGCCTATGTCCAAGTCACAGGCAAATGAGAGAGCTACTAGTGAGAAACTAAAAGAACATTTTATCCTTCTGTAACTAAAACTCTAAGACATTGAGGAGCAAAGCAGCTCTGCTTTAGAACCTGCTATCAGAAGGCAACATATGGAGGGAGTATTCTGTGTTGCTCATATTAGCATAGAAGGCGTTTTAGTAGGTCTAAAATTAATCTCCAAAGAGATATATCCAAGTCCCAATTCCTGGAACCTGTGAGTGTTACCTTATTTGGAAAGAGGATTTTTGCAGATGTCACTAAGTTAAGGATCTTAAGATGAAGACATCATCCTGGCTTATCTGGATGGGCCCTAAATCCAATGACAAGTGTCCTTAAAAGAGACAATCCAGTACAACAGAGGAGGAGATGATGTGGAGATGAAGCAGAGATACAAAGCTAGGAAGCCGAGGAACACCAGCAGCCATCAGAAGCTGGAAGAGGCAAGGAAGCATTCTTCTCTGGAGCTTCCAGAGGGAGTGCAGCCTGCTGACACCTTGATTTTGGACGTCTATCCTCTAAAACTGTGAGACAATAAATTTCTGTTCTTTTAAGCCACCCAGTTCATGGTAATTTGTTATGGCAGCTATAGGACACTAATACAGACATTGAGGCTTTGGGAGAATATGTTGCCCGGCAGATGTGGTAGGACCCAGTAGAAGTGAAAGTGGTACCCACTTGAGAAGGCTGTGGTTATTTAAATGATGCTTTGTCTGGTGGAGTTCCCCTGGTAACTGTAAATAGGAAACATTCCTTGGAAGCCCAAGTACAACTTAATGGGGAGGTGTTTTTTTCAAGGGAAGACTGTGAATGTGATCCCAATTATACCCAGCATCTGGTAAAGGCTGGGAAACCATGGATAAACTCTCTAGAACCCAAAGCAAAGCGAACTCTGAACTATGATCTATTAGAAAGGCACATATGATTAACACAAAAGACTGTAGCAAACAACACCCATATATTTAATATTATAATATTTAATCTCTCATTGGCACAAAATTCTATAATCTGGTTCTACTCCGTCTTGTACTATGTCATCTGGTATGTTTTCCAGTGTCTCTGTAGCTGGAGAAGAGAGAGACAGAGGACACACACTGACTCTCAACTTCCTTTAACTGAAAGTAACATACATCACTTCCAATTATGGTCCATTCACCAGAACTAGTCAAATGGCCCCAAACTGACTACAAGGGAGGCTGGGAAATATACGTGGTTGTAGAAACCGTGTATATTTGGCAGCATTAATGGTCTTTGCCACATATAGGAATGAATTGTTAATCTTGATTAATTTAATTTTCCACTATAAGATCTGAGCTATTGTTGGGCACGCAATGACCTTAGTCAGTGATTACCTCTTGACCTAATTTGTTCTAATGTAAACTTTATTTAATGTTAAAGTTGAACCCATGGTCTCTCTGAGTTCCACAGGACAAAATCTGATATGAAGTGTTAAATTTTCTTAAGTTCTGTTATAATTAAGCCAGGAAAATAATCAATGAACCCTTTTGGATAAAAAAATAAAATGAGAAAATTTCCAATAGTCATAATGAATTTTAGAAATTGCTATAGTTTGTAGTTAAGGTATCATTTTGGCATTGAGGCAATTTAAAAAGAAAACATTATCAGGGGTTTTAAGAACAGCGATGATGGAAAAAATGTGGCTTGCTCCTCAGTTGCAGCACATTCTACACAGTAGGCTGGGAGTTGGTCCAGTGAAAACCAAGAAATGCAGGTTTTCTGTCTATTACAAAGGAAAAGGAGGAATAAATGACCATTTCTGTGTCACCTACTGTTGGACAGGACTGTTGCTAGGTGCTTTGTGTTTAATTATCTCATTTCGTGATGGCACCAACCCCATTTAGTAGGAATCATTCTCCTCAAGGTACAGCTGAAGAAACTGAGGGAAAGATTTTAAATGACCAAGGTCACACAGCTAGTAAGTAGAAGAGTGAGCCATCAAACTGGTCCCTCTACATTTGATTCTCTCATTCTTTGCTCCTACAGCACATTGTCTTCCTTGTTAGAAAACCAATTTCTCATACTTGATTGGCAGTGGTTGCTGTTGGGAGAGCAGGGTTGCTTTGTTTAAGCACTTTGTGAATAAAAAAATGGAACTCAGATCACGAGCTAAAGAAAAACCTGTCCCTCTTATTTCTTTTACAAATAAGCTGTTTGTTTTCGTCAAGGACAGGTTTTAGTTTCACGGGATACGACTTTGTTTTCAACGACTCATTAAAGAAAGATGACTTACTGCCCTGTTTTCTAAATCTAGTCACAGACCACAATCACTTGCAGGAAATGGAATGTTTACTTGAGTTTATTATACAAGGCTCTGGATATGAGCTGTGGGATTTTTACACCTCATAGCAACGGTATTACAATTTATTTACAACTTCATGTTGGCAGCTGCACAAACTCTTATGAAAAAGGACAATCACACCTTGGGGACCAGTAATTATAGGCAAAGGTATAAATTGGGCAAAGCAGTGTAAGCATTTGGCACTTAAGTTGAAGAGAATAGAAATGGCTCTGGCAATTGGACAGAAAGCCAGTCTCTTGTTCGTTATGAGGCCATGAACTAATTAAACTGAACTTGTCAGAATAGACGGATGAATAGATTGAACTGGATTTTGGCACTGGCTGGTCCCATGCTCATGAAAACCAAGTTGTTTTAGTGATGTCATCATTTGGAACTTCTAACTATGATATCACTTTTGACAGAATTAATGTGGAATTAATACCATATGTACAAGCATTAATAGGTATTGACTTTGAACAGTCAATGATCATTCAAGGTTGGTTTCCAAAGGAAAACTATGAGATATGTCTTTCTAGCTTCTCCAGTTATCAGATATCAAACCCAGATTAGACATGGATTTCAACATTTTTAATACAACTCCTCCGAGACAAATTCACATATGTGTTTCTAAAAAATATTTGCGTAAGAACATGGTTTAAAAGATGTTTTATTTGTAGTAATATTGAAGTAGGGGATGAGAGGATTTAAAATTAACTTCACAGTTAGCTTAAAAGGAATTGCCCAGAGGGTTTTTTTAATGAAACTTTTGGATTTTAGTTAAAATTACAACTAAGACATGAGATGTTCTTATTGATCAAAGTAGTGGTTATGGTTTCTAATTTTCCAGAGTAAATTGGCTCTGTCTTCCTTTTCTCACCAAAGCAGATACTGGCTAGGTGAAGTCTATCTTTTTTATGTCCATCACAACAGGTTCTTTTGAATCTTAGAGGTAGGGTGGGGTGTAGTAGTATTTATTCATTAAGCAAATATTTATTTAATCCCTTCTATGTTCTGGGAATTTTTTATATCTCTTCAGATTCCTTATAATTAATTCCTTCGTTTTAATGTAAATGAAATCTAGAAAGTGTTACTGCATCCATGCAACACAACAGTCTGGGTATATGTGAGTTAACAGATGTGAAAAGGAAGGTGAAATGAACTCAAGATAGCACCGTGAATAAATGGTGAAGCTGGGCTTAAGCCAGGTATTCTTTGGAATAGTGCCATGTAACTTAGTTAGCAGGATTCTCTGCAGGACACTTTTTATAGTTTATCTCATTAAACACAATGGTCCACTTTACAGTTAAAGAGACTGAGGGTCTTTCTCAAGGTAACTGAGAATTGACCTCATATTGTCCAACTCCAAAGGCCATGCTTTTTCTAATAGGGTACCTGGACTGCCCAGTACATTTCCTGCTTTCCAGGCAAGAAGCAGATATATCAGATGCAGAAGAAGCAGGTAAATCTTGTGTTCACAGTAGAAAGGCAACATGGTGGACTAGGAACCCTTGGTTTCAGTCCTGACTTGGCCACACACTTATTGCCTCACTTTGGCAAATCCCGCCACCTCTTTGTGTGTGTTCCTCCTCTGGGATGCCAACACCTCCTCACAGGGGTTCCTGTGAAAACCTAAGCCAACAGCAGTAAGTGCTATGAAGTACTGTTTAAATGTTTGTTATTATTATTGAAGTGTTGTGATGTTTCTCATGGGGCAGGTCAAGAGTCTTTGGGGGTGTAAATGAGTATTCTACAAAACATACTTGGTTTCTGAGAAAGTTTAGCTACCCAGTGCAGTATTATAACAAAGGCTATCCTTTCTCTTCGTAAAAATTAGAAAGAAGGCGGGTCCGGCCCCATGGCATAGCGGTTAAATGCGTGCGCTCCGCTGCTGGCGGCCCGGGGGCTCGGATCCCGGGTGTGCACCGACGCACCGCTTGTCAGGCCATGCTGTGGCGGCGTCCCATATAAAATGGAGGAAGATCGGCACGGATGTTAGCTCAGGGCCAGTTTTCCTCACACACACACAGAAAAAAACAACTTGGAAAGAAAGAAGAAAATGGAACCCACAATGCCCGGCAGCATGGAGTTTGGAATAAGGCTCACCCACCAACTTTGTCAATCAGTAGCTGTGGTCCCTTGGGCATGACAATCAAATTTTCTAAGCATAAGTTTCCAAAAAGTGGGAATAATAATACCACCCTCTGTGGATTGTTGTGTTACTTTGTTAGGGCTGCCATAACAAAATACTACAAAATGAGTGTGTTATACAACAGAAATTTATTGTCTCACAGTTCTGTAAGCTAGAAGTCCAAGATCAAGGTGTTGGCTGGGTTGCTTTCTTCTGACAGCTGTGAGGAAAAATCTGTTCCATGCCTTTCTTCTAGCTTCTGTTGGTTTGCCGGCACTCTTTGGTGATCCTTGGCTTGTAGAATTATCACCCCAATCTCTGCCTTCATCTTCACATGATGTTTTCCCTGTGTGTGTGTCTGTGTCCCAATTTCATCTTTTGAAAAGGGCATAAGTCATATTGGTTTAGGGCCCACTCTAATGACCTCATCTTAATTAATTATATCTGCAAGGACCTTATGTTCAAATAAGATCACATTCCGAGGTACTGAGCGTTACGGCTTCAACATATGAATTTGAGGGTGAAATAATTCAACCCATAACAGTTGTATGGATAAAAAATGAGATAATGCACAAAAAATGCCTAGTACATTTGACTCATGGTTAGTATTCTGTGCTAGTAGGGCTTTACTCCTGTTGGTTAATGATGCTTTGGAGTTAGGGGGAGAATTTAAAATGTGGAATTGATCTCTTTATGGCTCTGTACAGAAACTTTACCATGAGGACTAGAAGCTGTGTTTGTAGTCATTAATTACTGTTTTCTCACAGTTCCCTTGGACTTTTTCCTTAGTTTGTGAGCTTTTGAGGGAAGTCCAACCCTTCATACAGACCAATATGTCCTGCCCAGCCACCTGCTTTGGATTCAAGTCTTTTCTTCCAGACAACTCCCAGGAGTTTATAACAGATGTGTAAAATGTTCCAGGCTACCTTTTCATCATTTATATTAAAATTTAAAAAAACGTAGATGAAAGGTTTTCCCTAATGCATTCTATACAAAGAGCATATTAGTGTTTCATTAGAAAGAGCAGGTTAAGTTTTACAAAGAAAGTAATAAATAGACGTAAATGATAACAAAAAGTAACCATTTATTGAACACTTAATCTCATATAGGCATGCCAATACACTAAGTTATTCACACAACAACCTTGGATGGTAGATATTATTGTTTCTATTTTATAGATGAGAAAAATGAGACTTAGATTAAATACACCATTGAAGGTCAATAGCTGGCAAGTGGCCAAAGCAGACCTCGTGGTCAGTTGTGTTTGCTCAGTCTGTGCTCATCCCACAATCCAACAGAGAAAAGGATGCAGTGAATGTCTGCTGAGTGGGAGAAGGAGTTCCTGCTTCCCGGGACTGAACCTATTGCCACAGTCGTCTAGCATTTTTGAGTCCCAATTTCCTCACTGGAAATATGGAGACAATAATATCATTTGCATGGGGGGTTTTATATGGATTGGATGTGAGAACCTAGGATACAGGATTTAGCTTATGCTGGAGGGTCAACACATTTTATTGAAGAAATAAGACAATGTACAAATGAATGAATGAGTAAGAAAATGCATAGAAATGCTGTTGAGGACTAAACACAAGTTTAAAAGCAAATATCAGGGAATATGATTGAGCATAGAATTAATTTTTTTCTACTTTTAAAGATATTTAAAACGCAGAACCTATTACAAAAGAAACCAATTCCGACTTGGAAGCACTTATTGAGAATTTGTGTGGGTGAGGCAATGTGTTAAATGTCGTCAACAGGGTCTTATCTACTCCTCACAGAGACCGCATTAGGTAGAGGTCCACGACCAATTGACAGATGAGACACAGAGGAGTTGAACAATTTGCCTCAGGTTACCCAGCTTGCACATGTCACAAAGCCATACTTTGAACCCAGGTGGGCTGGTTCCAGAGACTGCTCTCGGCCAAACATTCATGGTCTAACTAATGGGAAGATCCACACACCTGAGAAGAAGAGATCAGACTTAGACACTTGGATTTGCTTCTTGCCAGTTTGTGAAGTATTGAGCAAGATGCTTAAACCCTCCAGGCCTCAGTTTCCTCCTCTATAAAAGGGAGATTACTATCTACCTCACAGGGCTGGAGGTAATTCTTGTTAAATGCTGTGAAGAGTTGCTGACACGTAGTAGTGCTCAGTAAATGTTACCTGTCAATCTGGTAGTTATGACAGTTGTGCTATATGGGAGGACTAAAGTCACAATGGGATGTTAGATGAAGACCTCTAGCCTTACTCTCTGTTATAAGGCTTAGGATCTCCAGTAATATTTGAACATTTCAGGTCTAGGACAGCTGGCTTGACTCAGAATCTTAGAAATTGGTAATCTGAAAAATAGTCTTACAAAGAAACAAAGCTGGAGATTTTCCTGGTAAATCACTTAAGCTCTCTTTGAGGAACACATATTCATTTCTTCAGATGGTTTGAGGCTGACTGATCCTCTTTAAAAAAGGTTTTTGATAATTTTACAATAATGAAAATGTGTTAATATTTATTACATTCTTGGTACTGTTCTAAGCACTTTACATGTATTATCTTATTTAATTCTTAAAGCAAGTCTATGAAATCATATTCTTATAGTCTTCATTGTATGGATGAAGAAACTAAGGCATAGAAGATTTAAATAACTTGCCAAAGTCACTTAGCTGGTAAGTGGCAGAGCTGGGATTTGATCCCTAGATGTCTGACCCAAGAGCCCATTCATATAACCACTTTGATTAGCCAGTTCTATAGCACTAAGATTCATATTTGTCTAAGTGAGAATTGCAAACGTTTCTCTCATTTTATAAAATCAAAATTAATTCTAATTTCTATTCTTGGATAATTCAAGTTTATAATATCAATGGACTGAACATGCTACCCGCAAAGTATCAGTTGTTAAAAAAATCACAATTTATGATAGTCTCCCTGTGGTAGGCATAATAATGTCTCCCCCTGCCCCCAAAGACGTCCAGGTCCTCATCTTAAAAATGTGTGAGTATGTTACTTTACATGGAAAAAGAGACTTTGAAGATGGGATTAAGTTAAGTGTCTTGAGATGGGGAGATTATTCTGGATTATCTTGGTGTTCACAATACAATCACAGGGTTATTATAAGGAGGAGGCAGGAGAGTGAGAGAAGGAGATGTGAGGATAGAAGCAGAGGTGAGAGAGAGAGAGAGACATACATACATACAGACAGACAGACAGAGAGAAAGAGAGAGACAGAGAGAGAGATCTTAAGATGCTGAGCTGCTGGCTTTGAAGATAGAGAAAGGGGCCATGAGCCAAAGAATGCAAGCAGCCTCAAGAAGCTGGAAAAGGGAAGGAAACAGAGTCTTCTCTGGAGTCTCCAGAAGGAATGCAGTCCTGCTGACCCATTTTGGACTTGAATTGTAGAATAAAAAAAAAAATTGTGTTGTTTTAAGCTCTTAAATTTGTGGTAATTTGTTACAGCAGCAAAGGGAAACTAATACGATATGGCACGATCAGTGGTTACTGCGCTAACTGTATGGATTCTCCTCTTTTCCCCCAACCTCCATAGTTTTTTCCCTTGCTCAAAGATAAAGGAGAATGACCCAGCAATTTCACTCCTAGACATATGGGAAAAGGACATGAAAATATATGTCTACACAAAAACTTGCACGCAAATATTTATAACAGCGTTATTCATAATAACCAAAATGTGGAAACAACCTAAATGTACATCAGTCGGTGAATGAATAAGCAAAATATGTTTTATACATAAAAGGAGATATTATTCAGCAGTAAAAAGGAATGAAGTAGTGATAAATGCCAAAATATGGATGAATGTTGAAAACATACTAAGTGAAGTAAGCCAGTCACACAAGACCATAATTATATACTTCCATTTATATGAAATGTCCAGAATAGGCAAATCTGTAGAGACAAAAATCATGGTGGTTTCCAGGGGTTGGTGGTAGAGAGTGGGAGGTGGAGAGTGACTGCTAATGGGTATGAAATTTTTGGGGGAGTGATGAAAATGTTCTAAACTTAGACTCTGGTGATGGTTGCACAACTCCGTGAATATATTAAAAATCAATGGAGTATACACTTTAAGTGTATTTTATAGTATGAAGGTGAATTTTATACTATGTGAATTATTTCTCAATAAAGATCTTAAGAAGAAAGATAAAGGAGGCAGCCATGTATTTATACTCTATGCAATACGTACTCCCATGTTTTGTTTGATTGGTGTATTAGTCAGGGTTCTTCAGAGAAACAGAACCAATAGAATATATATATGCTAAATACTTAACAAATGTTTGTTCCTTTCCCTAGTACAGAACAGAGCCATTTAAGCAAGTGATTTCCTGAAACACATGACCCTGGAGAGCCCAGCGCTGTAGTTAAGAAAAGACCATCCATATTATAGAAACACCATTCCTCGTAGTTCTGACATGAGCTGTGCAATTAAATGCCAATTTTTAGTGTGAAAAGATGATGCCTTGTTCAAATTAGGATAAACTCCAACTAGGTCTAGAATACACAAAAATCATGTAATCCAAGATTTTACTCACCTGAGGGAACAAAATATTTTTGCTGGCCCCAGTTCATCTTCTTTCACACATTTTACAATGTGTGGTATTTTAATCAATGTCAACCTGCTGCAGTTTCAGAATAGAGGCTTTGGAAATGCCTGATACCTTTTTCCCTTCAGTTGCCCTGACAGCATTTAACTCAACAAGAAGCTGTATACCTCTTTCTTCACTGCCACACAGTAAATTCAATGCTAATTAAAGAGGTTTTTGAAATTTAGATCTGCACTTAATGCACGAATATAAAAAAAAAAAGGTTAAAATGAAATGGTGTTTTATATGCATCTATATGCAGGGATATGAAATTGATTATGAAAAGAATAGGGAGAATGACTTAGTTCAGAGTTCTTTAATGGTAAGAACAGAGGAAATATATTGTTGTCAGGGCTTGGCGAAAAGAAAGGGAGAGTAGAAGAGAAGGCATCCGCAGGAACAGAAATTATCCAGGAGATCTTGGAGTTTCGGGCTTATTTTGAGCCTTTTTGTCAACCAGCTCACTGATCATTTTGATCTTGGATCACGCATTGACCCTTGTTCTCAAGTGGATCTTTTCTCAGAAGTGAAGCCTCCAGCTGCTTGATCTGGTGCTCTGCTCATCTCCAACTCCTCTGAGGACTAAGAGTTGACTAGTAGGAACGCTTCCGCCAGTTCTTTCGCATCCCTACATGTGGAGAGACATCCATAAGAGTAACAATTCTAGCCTCTCAAGTTGCCTCACTCAACTCCTCCTGAAGGTGTTTGTGATTATTAAGCTATGAAGGAGAAACTGGACACACATAACCTGGTCCCATTCTCTCCCCCTTTCTCTCTTGTAAATCGGATTCCCACAGGGAGAACTTGCTCTCTCTGCTGCACCGAGCAGGACAATTTTTGTAGAGATTTGCCTCCTGCATGGTGGTCCAGCACAGCTTGTGGTGGGCTGTGTAAGGCTGTATATATCTGGGGTTATCGTGAGAAAGTCCAATTTCTCATAGATCTAGCTTTCACGAGTAATAAAGTTGATATTTTATCTCCCATCTTCCAATATCTTTATTTTATGTATAATTGCTTCAGAACTTGGGTGGGAAAGAGATATGCTATTTTTTGGGAGCCCTTTGCTATTTGAGACATGCTGTTTGTAGGAGGACATCTTCCCCACTCCCCAACCTTGATCTTCCTGTTGTCTTTAACTTGGCTATTCTGGTCTCTGTGCACTTACTTCATTGTGTCCTTTTCTGGCCCTCAACTTGGCAAAATAGGATGATATGCACATTTTTGAAAGAATTGTCTAACAGGCATGTGATCATGACCATTTTGTTCATTTAAATTAATTTCTGTATTTTAAAAATCAAGATTTAGGGGCCAGCCTGGTGGCGTAGCAGTTAAGTTCACGCACTTCATTTTGGTGGCCCGGGGTTCGCAGGTTCAGATCCTGGGCGCGTACTGATGCACCGCTTGTCAAGCCATGCTGTGGTGGGGTCCCATATAAAGTAGAGGAAGATGGGCACGGGTGTGAGCCCAGGGCCAGTTTTCCTTAAGAAAAAGAGGAGGATTGGCATCAGATGATAGCTCAGGGTTAATCTTCCCCCCAAAAGAAAATAAATAAATAAAAAATAAATCAAG